GCTGAATGTTACTGGAAACATTTACTGGAGTTTTAACACTAAATTTATTTTTAAATATGCAGAGTGACTTAATAATTGATGGTTCACTTCAAACTGGATTTACTCTACATTACTTCCATTACAGTTGGTAATGCTCTCTTCTGCAGAGCATTAAGTGTTAGTTGTACTCTGCGTAAATCTTCAGATCGAATAATAGCAAAGGGCAATATTATTTATTGTGGAAGTCGAGTGTGATACGTTGATTTGAGTTTGTAATGTTTAAACTGTTTTCTTTGGTGGAAAGTCCGATTTGTTAAATTGATCACAAACATGTCGCGTAGTGACTTAATGTGTTTGTTTCATCAAAGTTGGTTTTGAATATAGTTTTAAAAATGTTGTTACGTGTTTATGTAGAGATGAACATTGTGTAGCATTTCCTCTGTTGCCATTTTAGCATTTTACAATAGCTTAATAAATGTTTTCTGTAAATACGCACATTTAAAAATGTTAATTAGCTTGGACATCCTGAAATAACTGAACCAATCAGTGTCTGTTGATTATGTAGGGGCAGTGCTGTTGTGCCGGTTCCCGGACGTTTGTCGAGGACAGTATCTACGATGAATTCGTAGAGAGAAGTGCTGCTCGAGCTAAGAATCGAACTGTCGGCAACCCATTTGACCTCTCAGTAGAACAAGGACCACAGGTAAGGGCGACGGATGTACGGTTTCTTCTCCTCTTCGAAGGACTCAAATTCATACCAAATGAAATCTTTATTTAAAAATTACCACAGTTCTAAATTATCGTTATTTACAAAACTGTATTATCTATTCTGTGGGATGTGCTACTGCTGGTAAATCATGCACAAAGTTCCTGCTCTTTATGATCTAAAAATATAGTAGGATGTCATGAAATGACTTTCCTTTAGTTTGTTGATTGCTTATTTATTGCATATCTCACGTCTCATAGCTTGCATGTCTTCTTGCCTTCTTCTTCTATGGCTCTCCGGTCTGTATTCGGTCCATGGCCTCCTCAGTTCTCCTCTTCCATTCGGTCCTCTGTTAGGTCCGTCTGTCCGAGGCTTTGATCGAGGTTTCAAAACATCTTCTTTTACGGTGCAAGGTTGTTAGCCTTGTGACCCACCCCCAACCTGGAAGACCATGTCTTATTGCCTAAAAGGTATAATCTGTTGACTAGATGAACTGTCAACTTCTCAAAAAGGACTCTGCTCCATTGATTGAGTTTAGTTATTTAAAAGTTATTCTTAATCACGTTCGTTGGCCTCTCTGTGAAGGCGACGAACAAAAATTGTATACTACGGCAATGATCTTCTGTAGTTGTTGTAGATAAAGTTTTTAAAGTCTCTTTGTATCAGTTGTAAGCGATTTACGTTTGTTGTATGTGTACAGGTGGATGGGGAACAGTTAACGAAGATTCTTAATTTGATAGACTCTGGGAAAAAGCAAGGAGCCAAGTTGGTGGCTGGAGGCAGTCGTCACGGAGACAGAGGTTACTTTATCCAGCCAACAGTGTTCGCCGACGTTAAGGACGGCATGACCATAGCTAAAGAGGAGGTAAGAAATGTTAACACGCGCAGAGAATTCCATTAGGTTACAAATTATAAATTACTAGTTGAGGACGATGATGATAATAGGAAATTAAAATGAAAATTAATGATCATTTAGAAAATGAGAATTTTCATTTATAAAATACGAAAAGTGATAATTTGAACAGGTACTTACGGTAAACAAAAATGGTTGAAAAATATTTTCTTCAAATCTATCTGATTTCTAATCTGATTTGTAATTTTTAAGCGATTAAAATGGGGATACAAAAATATCAAAGAACAGCGTTCTCGACATCTTTATCTTTATATGAACTGTGACCTTGTCTTCATAATTACTGATATTTAAATTTATGTGGTATTAATTTTTATTGTTTTACTCTGATATGAAACGTTTAATGTGTTTCTGTAGATTTTTGGACCAGTACAGCAAATATTGAGGTTCAAGAAACTTGATGAGTTGATTGAGAGAGCCAACAACACAGAATATGGCCTAGCGGCTGCCGTGTTTACGAAGGACGTCGATAAAGCACTTCATCTGGTACAGGGCATTCGTGCAGGAACTGTATGGTAAGTACAACGTTCACGTGGAAATTTGAAATTACGTATCGAGAAAAATAATTCTTCATACTCATTTTTTATTCTTGTTTTGAACTTTCGATTTTTCATTGTTAGTATAAATTCAAGGATGCTTTATAATCAGGTAAATGCACTGTACGAATATTTTATCTGTTGTACGACGAGGTTATTGAACATGGGAAAAATGTGAGAATAAGTTTACTTTTGAATTTGTTCATAGGGTGAACTGCTATAATGTATTGGGCTCCCAAGCTCCTTTTGGTGGATTCAAGATGTCCGGAAATGGACGTGAAATGGGAGAATATGGACTGGAAGCTTATACCGAAGTAAAGAGCGTTATTGTCAAGGTTCCACAAAAGAACAGTTAAACACATTGGCCTTGATTGTATGAAATATTCAGCTGGGAATCGCTTCGGGATTTGATATCAGGTACAAAATAATGAGATTAATCGATCATGTAATTTGCAGGACATGTTAGAATTCTAGGGGATATGAGGGTCCCAAAAATCACATCTATTGTATCCTCTTCCACAGGTGCATTTGTTAACGCATGCAAGAAAGGCTAATGTCATTTAGAGGTAAGTGGTAGCGATACGGATTTTACAATCTCAGTCCGTTCGTAGCATCATATAAATGTTCCGCGTTGCCAAAACTATCTTTTCAGGATGAGTGAAACAAGTTAGTCACGAATATTCCAAAGATTATTTCTTGAGACTTCTACCAGTGGTCAAAATCAGAAAAGAATGAGTGATGGTAAATACTTGTGTAATGAAAAAATGCATTTCTGATAAATAATTATGTGTAATGGAAAGTAAAATGTGTAATTATTGTGCAAGTTGTAAACAAATTAAAATGTTCAATAACTAATCATTAGTTAGCAGGTATTATATAAATGACAGTTCCTAATTTAAATGTTATGCCTTTTATGTTGTTAACTAACATTTCTTTTCATTAACATATTTTAACCTTTAGTTTGAATCATGAATGTTACCAATGTAAGATTTGAGGTTTTCACAGCGGCGAGTATGAAGATTTCTGTCTTCTGGGTTGTTGCGCTATGTAGTCTGGTCGATGTTTACCAACGCTTCAGAGGTCATACTGCCTCCGTCATCAGGGTGATGAGTATGAAGATTGCTGTCTTCTGGGTTGTTGCGCTATGTAGTCTGGTCGATGTTTACCAACGCTTCAGAGGTCATACTGCCTCCGTCATCAGGGTGATGAGTATGAAGATTGCTGTCTTCTGGGTTGTTGCGCTATGTAGTCTGGTCGATGTTTACCAACGCTTCAGAGGTCATACTGCCTCCGTCATCAGGGTGATGAGTATGAAGATTGCTGTCTTCTGGGTTGTTGCGCTATGTAGTCTGGTCGATGTTTACCAACGCTTCAGAGGTCATACTGCCTCCGTCATCAGGGTGATGAGTATGAAGATTGCTGTCTTCTGGGTTGTTGCGCTATGTAGTCTGGTCGATGTTTACCAACGCTTCAGAGGTCATACTGCCTCCGTCATCAGGGTGATGAGTATGAAGATTGCTGTCTTCTGGGTTGTTGCGCTATGTAGTCTGGTCGATGTTTACCAACGCTTCAGAGGTCATACTGCCTCCGTCATCAGGGTGATGAGTATGAAGATTGCTGTCTTCTGGGTTGTTGCGCTATGTAGTCTGGTCGATGTTTACCAACGCTTCAGAGGTCATACTGCCTCCGTCATCAGGGTGATGAGTATGAAGATTGCTGTCTTCTGGGTTGTTGCGCTATGTAGTCTGGTCGATGTTTACCAACGCTTCAGAGGTCATACTGCCTCCGTCATCAGGGTGATGAGTATGAAGATTGCTGTCTTCTGGGTTGTTGCGATTCATCGCCCTGATGACGAAGGCAGTACGACCTCTGAAACGTTGGTTAACATCGACCAGACTACACAGCGCAAGAACCCAGAAGACAGAAATCTTCAACATTATCAGTGTTATTCCTTATCTGATGTCATTGCTTTAATTTTGAATTAATTCAAAATATCTTAATGCCTAACAAGTCAAATGCAGTATTAAGTTCAGAAACATTTTCACATTTGTAGTGACAAATCGTGTGCAAGGAAGTGTGTTTTGACAATGGAACAGATGAAGAAATAATTGAGTCTTCCCGAAAAAATCCAGCGTACCTTTCGTTTTTCTGTGCCAAAAGTAAAGAGTGTAAGTATTGTATCAGTCGTATGTTGTTATTTGAGCTCCACCAATCAGCACCCTCAAATCCATCTTCTCACCTACGGCCTGCCCTACATAAGGTTTCCAAAACTTCCCAACCAATGCATTTTCATCCTGAAAATGGCAGCTGCAGTGTTTGCTGAGACATTGTTTAATTCTCAACGTCTGATACTGCTTATGCCTTTGATTCTTTTATGAAGATAAAGATTCCGCTGTGCCTAAGTACAATGCCGTAGAAGGGCTCAATTGGCCCCAGAACCTTTATGAACAGGTAGGGACGAGGAAAAGTCATAACGATCCTGCTGTGTCGATATTTTGTAATGGAGTTGGGTTCTGGATGTTTATTGATATCAAGTTGGGAGATCTTCTTATATTTCCGGTTTAACAATGTTTATACATTTTCCGGTACCCTTTTACGGGTCCCCAACTTTTCAGTTGGCTTGATTTGTAGACATTCGGTAGGACTCCTTGGACGAGGGATCGGCCCGTCGCAAGGCCTCTACCAGTACACAGGACAGCACAACACAGAAAAACGAGGACAAACATCCATGGCTTGAGTGGGATTCGAACCCACGGTCCCTGTGACCAAGCGGCACAAGGCCAACGCCTCAGACCGCGCGGCCACTGCGGACCAGTTGGGAGATCTTGTGCAGTATAAATTGGCTCTTTTGAATAGAACTGTAACTTGAAGTGCATTCTTTATTCTAGATCTTGTTAAAGAATATCTCCAGTGTCTTTCTGTACCTTTTCATCTGTTCTCAGGCATTTCCTTTGTCCAAAAAGGATAGACAGTGTTGGAATATTATTACAGGTGTATCATATTGTTCAAAGGTATACAGTTTCCAGTATCTTCCCATTTATACAATGGATTTTTTTTTCTATTGAAAACACCAGATTTGATTAGGATCTAGAAAGGTTCTTCTGCAGTTCTTCTGTTGGTTACTAATTACTCTGAAACGAAGGGAAAAATACACTTCTGAACAGGCATTAATTTAGCCAGTCATATTCCGGCACAGAACCTGACTCATGAGCATAGAAAGAAACTATCTTTTAAGTTGACGCAGCAACTTCCTAACCTACAATATTTAATGGTTATTATATTATATTTCTTCTGTTTTTGAGATATTTATGTACACTTTAAAGCAGTGTTTTGATGGCATTTGTTGAACTGTGTTTCCTCAAATTTCTCCACCAGTGACGACGCTTTACAATGAGCGCGTCTTTGTCTACCGTACAAATCCAAATCTAATTTGTGTCCAAAAGCAAAATATTTAATGGCATTTTACGTGTTGTTTTGTATGGATATGAAGCTATATTCATCATCGTAATAGGAAATACTAGAATAAGGGTGTTTGATAACAGAGTGCTTAGGAGAATATTTAGATTTAAGAAAGGGATTTCCGAAAGGTTGACAGAAGATCACATAAAGGGGAGCTCCATAATTTATACTCTTATTAAGGTAATAAAACTGGAGAAGGATTAGATGGGTGAAGCATGTATGGCAAATATGAGAAATACAAACAAGAATTAATTTAGAATACCTGAAAGGAGACAGCCACGGTGGTCTAGCGGTTAGAATGCTGGCCTTGTAACCCTGGGGTCTCGGGTTCGATTCCCGGCGGTGCCCGAATTTATAACTTGTGTTGGGCAAGGCCGTGGTCTAGGCAACACGGAGTTTTCCTCCGGGGGCTTCCCCGGTTTCTCCGTGGCATCCCAACAATTACTCCATTCACACAGAAGAAGGCAATGGCTAACCACTTCTGGATCATCTGCCAAGAACGTATATGAACAGGTCCCAGTCCGAGAAAAGGATGGAAGGATCCTGTTCATATGGACCTGTCGTCAGACAGAACACTAAATAAAATAATACCTGAAAGGAAAAGACCACTTAGATATGCAGCATAAAATGTATCTTATAGAAACGAGATGTGAGGAAGTGAACTGGATTCATGTGGGTCAGGTTAGAGTCCAGTGGCAGACTGTCGTGAACACGGTAATGAACCTTTATGTTCCTTAAGAGGCAGGGAATTTCTTGGCCACCTGACCAACTAGCAGCTTCTCAAGAATGACTCTGCTTCAAAGATTTCCATGTTTTGTTTTGAATGCACTGGTGATAGACTTAATACCACCTGTTATGGCCCAGATGCCTTATTTAGCTGCTACACGACTTTGTTTTTTTTAGAATAAATGAGTATTTCATTTGAAAACATTTCATATATCTGTTCTAAACCCTCGCTTGTTTTATGAATAGATCAAAAGCAAAGTTAGATACAAAACACTTCTCTTGATGTTGAACCACGTAGGAAGATAAATCCTTTTTAGAGTGATGCTTTACAAAAAGAGATAAGCAGAGATTTCATAATCATACATTTTATCTTCCTCTGTAGTATATCCACTTCGTGGAAGATGAAATAAGCATTTTATTGTGATTCACTGGGAATGTCAAAGAAACGGTATTCAGTGAGGGGAAAATATTATTTCTATGCTCTTTGTGGGAAGTTCAGAACTGCCTACTATTCAAATAGCAGTGACAGAGATTAGGGCTATGAACATGTTTAAAAGAGAGTGCCCATGTTTTGGATGAGGCAAGACATTTTTCTCTTTACATATACAGAAAATATAAGGAGAATGATTCTGTTCTTCGCCGCCTTTATCAAATCTTATTATCCATCTCTCATGCGTATCTCAATTGACACTATTGACGATAGAATTTAATACAGCGTGATCAGACAACCAGTTGATCATTGTAGTGGAGACATGTATTTTCTTTGAGTTTTAAATATTATTTAGATGCATAACCCAAAAGTTAGCTCCACGAAATTCTGCTTTACAGAGATAATATCAGAATTCTGGTAGAATGCAATAAGACCCTGACATCGGACCCCTTTGCCTGGGGGATCTTCGTAGGCAAAATATCTCTCTATTACCGCCGTTAAATGTCGTGTCGCCTGCCATTATCCGTCTCCTTTCAGTCGGTCGGACTGCAAAGGGCCAATACATTACATTTCTTCATCTCATTCGTATTATATTCTCAATTTTGTAGCATACTACCGACATCTGGCACGCTTTTAGGAATCCTGCTAATCACACCCAGAAGCCTAGCTTTCGATTATTTTGTTCCAAATTATTATACGGTGCAGGATAAGAATATGAACGACTCAATGCACATAAAAACGTATTTTGTATTCAGTCCAACACTCTTCATGGTCGTTTTGTCTGATACTGTATGTCATTTTAGTAGGCACTCTTTTCTATCGAAGTATGGCGGAGTTGATGACGTGTGGTCAGAAGAGAGACGTTTTACCGGCGTCGGAAGTTCATGGTTACTGGAGCCATAGATTCTCCGTGAGATCGTAATAGTGAGAAGACGGTTGTGGAGGGTGAGTTAGAACGAAGAATGATAACATCACACATGACACAATAACAAGGTATGTGAAGGACTGAACTGTAGGCTGCCTTCTAATGTTGTCTCTTGTTAAGTTTCACATTTTATAAGATATTTACAGAAGTTTGTACACTGAAAATTTATAGTTAAGAAAGTAGAGGTAATGTATGTGTTAACAAAATAATATCCGATGTCCTTCACGCCTCTGCTTAAATAATTATAACCTTTACCATAAGGATTGCATTTCTGGCCATAAAACCTTCACTGCCTGCCTGACTATTCTTACTGCCATAAGTGGAAGTCTATTGCTTTCGTTTGTGTCGGAAGAGACGAAAATCATCGTGAATATCGAGTAGGTAAGGTTATAGCAGGGGACTGTCGTTGCTTATTTCAGCGTTATATCCCTGAAAAGACTTGGTCACGAAAATCTCAGCTCCTGGGTTCGAATCCTGGTAAAGAGTGTTTCTGTAGTTCGGTAGCTAAGAATTTGTCGGATTGTCCCGAAGTAACACTGCGAGAACGCTGATAGTTAATTATCGTACCGAAGACATTAAATAAAAACCAGTTACAGGCGTGTTAATACGTAGCACGTTTGGGAAACCAAGAAATTTATTACAAAATTTTGTTGTAGAACCTTGCGAAAAATGGAAACTTTTGAGAGGATAATATTAAAATTTATTTTCTTTTTTCGTTGCGTTGCAAATCCTGGATGGGGAGAGATTAAGAGACGTAGATCGTGGTCTCTCTAAATGAGCTACTTCGAAATGTACTTGTAGGGCGCAAGGAAAAACACGAAAATTCTCGATCTAGGTATCCTATTTTCTAAATATGAGTTATATGCGTTAGTTTTACTGTGCAGAGGCTGGCTATTGTCATGTTACAATATTTCGGCTTCCATAGCAACAGAAAATTGCCCGATCTAAGTATCAACTATAAGGGTAGGTTATTAGTGAGTGTTATCACACATGTTGAATAAACTGGAATTTCCAGTCCTGAGAAGATATTCAATAATTTATTATTCTTCGCCGCATTCAGAAAGTTTGTGGGGTTCACCCAGCCTAGACACTGAGGGTAAAAATAACCCTTAACCTTTCAGTGCCGGAGACTGAAGTACCCAGAACCATAACCCACGCCAACTCCCACACAGGATTTTACAGCTTGTTGCGTATCAGCCATCTTACTATTATACAATTTCAACAACTGTATCGACAGATCTACTCTGATACTATTTTTCCAACGAAGCAGCAACCATAGTCTGTCACGTAAATATGGAATGAAACACGAAATGGCCAGTCCGATACTGTACAGAGTGTAAAGATTTGTGAATGATGCCTGTGTTTCTAATAGGTTTCTTATGTATTGTAAGTTAGTCTTACAATTATTTTTTTTAATAGGACACTTTTTAACTCTCTCAGTTTAATAATACCGGTAATAGTAGTAATAATTGGCCTTCTGGCTGTTGATACAGCACACAAATATTAAAGAATTGAAGACTAGTAACAATAACAACAATAATGCAATGTTAAAACACACAGAGAAAATAACAAACATTTACGTTTGTTACAAGAAATTGAAAGGAGGTTGAGACTTTCGCTCGCACAAGAGAGAATAGCACAGAAAGGCAAAGATTATCTTCTGTGACTTGAGCAATATTAGATCCCAGTGTTCAAACGTTCCAAAATCTCGCGTGTTTTATTTAGACTGTGGTCGGTGAAAAGACTTGCTGGACAATAGGTGGAACGTTACGAGGTGCATTGTCTTTTGTAAGTCGAATAATACTCATACTTGTATTGTAGGTGTTCTTGATAAAGTTTCCAATACGTACAAATAAAAAAAAAACCCTGAAAATTTGAGAAAATAAAATATTAATTTCAAAGTAATAACTACAGTAACAAGGTGTTACCGCTTAGACCCTCTGACGTCTTGTTACTAACATTTCATTAAAAAAATTAATCCGTCGGTCACGTATTAGGAGACATCCGGTCTCAATGTACACAGAACAGCACAACGCCCTAGAAAACGTACGCATACATCCGTGTCCCTAGCGAGAGAATCTGCGACAAGTTTTCAAGCGATCGAAGACAGTGCCCACTTGATACTTGGTGGCGGCTTCTGTATTCGGCTACAGGCTAATATTCCGATACTATTTCTTTGCAACGAACTATATGGGAATTTCAGTGCGTGTTCGTTGTGCTGAAAACTAAGACTTCAAGGTTTGGACAGAGATCTTTAGAATTATTTCGCTGAGAAGGTACTTAAATTGTAAGGTTTAATACATGGGCATATTAGAAGTCACAGTTCCATATGGAAGTATGCCTTCCCCCTTCGCAGCAAAAAACAGTAATAACAAGGTTCTCGAAAGTATTTCAAAAGCGTGAAGGATCGGGAAATAATTTTGTTATGTATCAGTTCCCTTGATGTGGGCAAAGAGAGATATTTAGTTGCTGTGTAGGGGAATTTTTGTAGTAGTGATTTCTGTGAGAAATTGACAAACATTTGAGACTGTCATGGCGTCTCGGAATTCGCTCATATATGCGTCCAGGAGCTCTAGGGGGACTAACAGTAGACGGCTGGTTTAATCCTATTAACATAACACAAAAACTTAATGTATAATGGAAATTGGACATTTCAGTATCAAATACAGGAAGATTGGTGACAATAAAAGTATGAAAAGCAACTTACAAATTGAGAAGACTTGTTTAATTCCATCAAACGTAATGATTAAACACACAAGATATTTTTAAGTTATTAAAATCTGTACTCACGTAGATGATTTTCTTCTGGGTTGTTGCGCCATGTAGTCTGGTAGAAAATGACTGATCGCACTGAGGATGGAGGAAGTAGGCATCCCTGAAACTCTCGATTTACGCCTTTATCGTCCATTATCATCATCGGTATTGCCTCGAGATGATTTGGTACAGAATCAACTCTTTCATTATAATTCAAATCACGAAACGTTATACAGTCCATCTGTCCGCGTTTTCTGACATGCCTATAATTTTCTTTATGTTATTTGTAGAATCCGGCCATTCCATTACAGTATATTCATTTTGTTTCAACCCCATTAAAGTTAAGAACATATTCGAATTTCCAATCAGTTTTAACATGCGAACGGAGCCATCGAGTTTCTTGTAGGAGGCTGCAGACCGGCTACTGGTCAGGAGTAGAAGAGTCTGATATATCTCGACCAATCAGCAGGCAGAACCGAGTTTATTTAAAGAAAGAGCGCGGAGCTGCGTGAGGCCATGTGCAGTCTAGAGCTTGAAGCCTTCTCAGTGATTTGAGAGCACACATTCGCAATATGTTTCTTCCGAAGCATCTCACGTATCATTGCAGTGCCGTTTTGTTTCTTCTTCTGCTGACATCTGCCTTATCTGCACCGTACTACGACTTGGAATATGAAGATGGCGGTGAGTGATACAGATATTATTCTATAATTATGAATATGATTATAAGTTTGTAATTATTCTTTTAATGAATTTAGCCAGTCGAAATGTAGCCTACCTCTCCTGTATCGTATTTTATGAAGTTAAACTGAATCAGATGCGTGAGTTTTCAGGTTCTCATGGCGACGAGTATGAAGATGATTTGTCTTCTAGGAAGTTGCGCCGTGTAGTCTAGTGGAATTTAACCACCGTTTCAGAGGTGCTTGGGGTGAAATGTCATTCAACATCTACCAGACTACACAGCGTAATATCCCAGAAGACAGTAATATTCTGAATCAGATGTTTGAGGAATTTTCATAATTTGTACTTTTCACCTAATTTGAGTGATAACATCAAAGAGATTTAGATGGACGAGACATGTAGCAAGCATTTGGAGATAAGAAATATATGCAACATTTTAGCTGAAAAACCCTAGGCAACATGCCATATGAGAGACTAAGGTGCGGATGTGAGGATAATATTAAAATATAAAGAATAGTGTGTGAGGGTGAGGACTACATTACACTGGTTTACGATAGATTCCAATGATGGACTTCTGTAAGGACGACAATGAACCTTTTTGTTGCACAAAACGCGATCAGTTTCCAGAGCAGTTGCGGGATCCGCATCTCAAGAAGGTCTGTGCTCCATGTAGGCTATCTATGGTCCGATAAATTGTGATATAGAACCAAAAGTTGAATAGATTGATAATGGTTCGAAAGAATATACTGTTTCCATCTTCAAGGCAGCATGTTACGGCGATACTAACCGAAAGACCAACGTGGATATCTTCACCGTCAGATCTCATACAATTTAACGTCAGTGGAGTTTGCCGACCCGTATAAATTATGTACGGAAATATTTCAATAAATTGATTAGTTGTTAATTACTGTTCTTACTGGCTTCACCATACAGACTGAAGTATCTGAAGGAAGAATTAGGTGTCGTAAATTCTTTTCAGAACTTTTTCTTTATTCCTTTGTTTTGGTGTGGGATTCCCGAAATACTTTTTGACGTGTATAGGATTCGCTGTACTACAGTAGGTGAAGTACTGGTATGTTTGACAGGAATTCTAAACTCGCCTGATAGAACCTTATGGGAAGAATCCGATAACTTCATGGCCGTCAAAAGATCTACGGAGCCTTTTATCTCCATGCACTGGTCCGGAGACAGTCGGAAGAGTTACATGCCGTATCACCCTGTCGTCAGGTTCCGCTCCCCCAAGCCTCAGTTCGACCACCCATCCCTCACATACACGAGGAGATTCGAAGGTAAGGGCACCGAGCGTGTGTTATTACTAGACTTGGTGTGGGTATTCTTTGTCAGATGTTGTTACGGTGATAAAATCACGGTCATAAGGTGGACGAGGCATGAAACACATGGAATAGTTTATAAACGCATACAGGATGTTGATCTGAAAACGTAAAGTGAAAGACCAGCTTGTTAGTCCGAGGATTCAATCCAAGGATAATATTAAAATGATTCTTAAAGAAAAAGTGTGTGAGGATGTAGACTGGTATCATCTAGCACTGTGAACACGTGAAGGCACCTTCTGGTTATGTAAAATACGGGTAATAGCTTCTCGATAAGGAATCTACTCAGCGAAGTTAAATGTTACTTCACTTTGGTAGTCACGCTGAACAAGACATGCTTGCAGAATTTTGGGAGGCAGTCACTTGGAAGGCTCAGGATTATGTCTTTTTGGCACAAGCGGTGTTCGGTATCTGTTACCGGAATTTGCCCACGTGTGGTGCTGCTAATGCTTTATGGATCGCCCTGTCCTATTTGCCTGTAACGTTAGGAATACGTACACATTATGTTGGGGCACGCCTAGGAAGGAATTTCTGTTTTGTCCTCACTAAGATGACAGCGGTAAAGAATGAATAGAAGAAAAGTTATGATGGTGCACATCACTTTCAGGTTTTAGGCAAGATCATGCAAAAAATAAAATTGACGTTGGATCAATCGGTCTTGAACCAGTGATCTTCTACATGGAAAACATGCTCCTTGTATTTTGTTAAAAAATGTAGGCTATATTGAAGCATAGGAAAATGTCATGGGATATAAAACTATGGAACAAAGAGAGCCGACAGGAATATGCTACTTAACAAGTTCTTTAATTACTCTTGTAATACGTTTTCGAAGGAAGTGTTTAATTTTGTTCCAGACCGATTGAAGAAGAATCTGAGTGCCGGTGAGATCCTAGCTCTGCTCAGTACCATCATGGTAGACCGCGCATCCAAAGGACGTCTCAAAGGGCTGCGGTTTGGAATAAGCAAGAGATGAAATGGATACAACCATATTCATAAATTTGAAGTTAAACGAAGTGCACAGATCATCCAATTTATACCCGAAACAATTGCCGCATTTAACCTAGTTATATTAGTAGTTTTTCACATAATGTGGGGATGTTAGTTAAACTTTGGTTAAAAGTAGGCCCATACGACGCTTAATTAAGTTTAATGAAACAATCAAACTATTAATTTGTGTTATTCTGTATAGTATGCCTGAATTAATTGGAAACGTGTGCTGTAATTATTTAATGTAACTGCTTAAAACCATTCACGTTTCCTAGTCTTGATATTAAAATTGCGTGGAAACGTGTGCTGTAATTATTTAATGAAACTGCTTAAAACCTTTCACGTTTCCTAGTCTGGATATTAAAATTGCATTTATTAATAGCTTAACCCAAATTAAACACAGGTCATTTATTTTTTATAAAATATGAACTTGGCAAGTTCATAAGAAGTTTAAAATAACAAGACACATATTTATTTTATAGATTTCTCTGTGGTTTGCGTGTCGTAAATATAATGCTGAAAATTGTTTGTCCGGGCATTGTTATTAACATTGTTTAATACTAGATTCCTTTAAAAACAATTTTTGTTATGTACTTTTAATCATGTAATTTTGCGTATTCAGTACAGTTTAATATCTATTTAACGCTGTTAGTTACAAGGCACGCCGCAATGCCAACAGCGTTTGTTTTTTCATAGTAGTTTCATATTATACCGCATTTCCGCGGAGCGTTGGTTACTCTGTGTCTTCTATTGATTACGTCGGCCGACATGTTGGATTGATGCTGAGCGCCGCTGGACCGATTCTGTGTGTATCATCTCCCGGCTATGGCACTATAGTATCTGTTAAAATAAAGAATGAAGTAGTTTGCAACAAAAAGTCTTTAATTAGGATGAAATTAAATGCAGTACTATGAAGTATGAAACTGTGAAGGCGGTGTACTGCTAAAAGTCTAAGAATGTTGTTTCGAATGCACCGTATTTTGGTCCTGTTAAGTTTCCTAACGATAACATCAGGTATGTACAACATGTGTGATACTATACACTATTTAGACTGCAGTTGTGAGGTGGTGTATACCACCTTTAATTTTAAGAATGGCTAATTTAAAGTTTATAAACCTTAAACCGGTACTTTGTTTTTAATAATTTTGTTGGCTGCATTGCATTGTAACCGGAAGTGAAAAGTTTTCTCATCCACAGTATCGACAAAAAGGCGTACTATGAAAAACTCTTTCTCTAAGTGGAACATTATTCCGCGTCCCATATAAGTCATATCAAAGTGTATCATGTAATTTAAGCCCTGAAAGGTTGAATGTGATTATTATACAGTGTTTTGTCTGAGTTTTAAAATAAACTTATTAAAATTATACAGCAAAGGCTCACTATTTCGAACGGTTAATTTGTTTTGTATAATTTTATTTTAATTTATTTTATTTGGATAAGATTTAGTATACTGCATTATATAGTCTACGACTTTGTTCGAGGATATTATGCAATTCGTCCAGAAAACGTGCGAGTAAGACGTAGGCAGCTAAATTACTTCCTGTTCTTCATACATAAAATAAACAAGGAGGACGAAATGACGGTAACCACCTGTGTGTGCAAGACCGCGTGGCATCAGAACCCACAAGACCACCATTGGCAATACCGACCATGTTCTCAGCAATGACGTCGTATTTCAAAATCTTCAATTTTATCTTCTAAAGGAACTTCTGAAGGGGTATGGAGGGACGAAAGGAAAAAAGACGATTGTCTTCTCGGTTGTACCGTCTTGTAGTCTGGTAGAAATTTACCAGTGTTTCGACGGTACTTGTTTCCTCCATCTTCAGTGCGACATCCATCTTTTTACTCACCTGCGTGAGAAGCTCAGATCCTACAAAGGAAAGAAAGAAAGGGCAAAGGATGCAGATACTGAAGAAATACTTTCCCCATAAATTTCAATACTCTCTTTTACGTTGTTTTACAATTTACAACTTACGAGCCTGTCTTCAAGACTGGCAGTTGCTTCCAACGAGACTTAAAAATTAAATCCCGTGTTGCTATTATCTTCTGTTGTACCCCTTACTATAAATTTATAAATTTACTAATTTTATTAGAGTCCAAGGTGTATTGGTAGTCATACTTTAAGAATTAACTGTGTGCTAAATGCAGCTGATCCAGATAAAATTTCAAGTACTACCAACAAATGAATATGTAAGAGTTTTCTAAAAATTGTAATGTAATTGTATGTATTGTAAATGTATTGTAAATGTAATGTTAAAGGGGAAGATTGATGGGAAATAAGAGGAATGTATTTACGTCTTATTACGCACCGAACCAATAGCTGCATGTACACACACACACCCAAACACACAAATCAAACGGCCCATTTTCTGGATTTACTGAGCAGTTATTTTCTGAATGAAAGGTGGATATGCAGCCCAATCGAAAAGTCACGCAACCCATATTAAAATATTTATCGAAGGCTCCAGTCCGTTACAGTTCGATTGGATTAATAGTCAGATGGTGTCTAACGGGGCTAGCCCTAGACGACTCAGCTTTTGACATTGTACTTCAAGGCAGTATCGCCGTCGAAGGTCACGTCATGATGTAACCTGCTCTCGTCAGTCCTCTTTCAATAGTCAAAGTGTGCAAATGTCTTTTACAAGTGTAAGGAATATTCATTGTCAAACACTGTCTAACATCTCGTTGTTGATTAACCTGCCAGAATGCGTTTAGGGATACATGTTTCCATCATCTTGTGTCAAACAAATAGACAGTCTTACCTGGTGAACTGTTTCCGTTACTGGAGGGCCTATACCGCCGGGTTGCATCAAACATGAGATAAAGAGTGGATGATAACCGTGGACATTCCTAACACTCATGTAACATTATTTTTTGTTTCCCGATGTTTTTGTAACATATTTTTTGACAAATAGAACATGCGTCAGGAATAGGTAGGTTGTATGAGTTTTCGATAACTCTATATAAATTGATTTATGAATATGCCTGACTGTATACTAAATGTTATCGTACCAATAAGTTTGTTGGCCATAAATCCTGTGTCATGACACTGATATACCGGTACCGCAAATCATTCGAATATATGGAAAATATAGAATATTTAGCAAAGGCATTGACACAGTCACCAAGAAGTTAAGAACAGATTAAACGCGAGGAATGCGTGCTACCATTGAGTTTAGGATCTTCTGTCTTTCCGCTCCTATAAAGCAGTGGTATTCAACCTGGGGTACACGTACCCCCAGGGGTACGCGAAGACTCTTAGGGGGTACTTGAAATTTAAAATATATATATATTATTTTATGATAACACTGAATAATCAGTAATGTAATTTATTTAATTCATTTTAGATGTAGATTATATACTATGTATAACTTTAATTATACACCAACAACTTTGGGGGTACAAAGTTGAAGAGAAATTATATCTGGGGGTACGTGAACAAAAAAGTTTGAATACTACTGCTATAGAGGAACCTCAAAGTTAAAATACAATTGCGAACATGTAATTTGCTCGCTGTTTTGTATGGCCTTGGAACTCGGTGTCCGCCACAAGGAAAACAAATTGGGGGTGCTCGGAAACAAAGCGTTGAAGAAAATTTATTGACCTAAGTGAGAGGAAGTAACCAGGTAACATAAAAAAATACACAGCGAGAATCTTCATAATAGCCTGTGTAACAATCAGCAGGTATTATTAGGACGATCGAATTCAAATGGTGAGATGGACGGAGAATTTAGTATTTATGGCGACTGAAGATATCAGTATAAAATGTTATCCTTGAAACCTGAAAGAAAAAATATTGTTTGGGTAATCAGGAGGATGGTATTGAAAAGAATCTTACAGGAATACGGTGTAAGGATTTGGGCTTGATTCACA